TAAATTTGTCTTTATTTAATACCCACATAGAAATATGATCCCGCCGTACGTATTTTAGCGGCTAAGAGCTAAATTAATGTTTTAGATGGACTACAAGTGTGTACATCTGAGGTTTAAAAAAAAACCGACAAATGGTAGGAGGAATGCGCTCAAATTCAAACCTTTCAGGAGTGTAATTAAGGCAATTCGTAGAGGAGCACATTCGGTTCGCACTACTCACAATTTGTTAGCGTCTGTAAAAAAAAACAAAGTGGTAACCCGATTTTTAATTAAAAATTTTGGAAATAGAAAGATCAGATGTACAAAATGGTTTACTTGACTCTAAGATCATCGAGTCAGTTGAATAAGTTCGAAGTGGGATGCAATCTGGAGCTCACGGATTCCACCAAACCGCCATATCAAATTTCACCTCTGTGTGATGGTAATTTTAAACCCCATCTATGCACACATACGCACATGCAAACACTATCTTTCGTCCCAAGGCTTTATAATTGAAGTGACATCTTTGTTTGTGGTCATTATTTCATTCTTCCTTGTCCACTGTCCTACTGTCAGTTTGGCTTGACATTACACAGCGAGGGTAATCACGCATGGAACGATGATTCGGCCTACTCTGATCAATTTTACATCTCGGATTTGTTGCACATCGCACCTGAGTGTCAGAATTTTAATACAGGTCTCTGGAGTCATGCGTCTTCGTTTTGGAGGAAAGAATAGGAAGCGAAAAACCAAGACTTGTTGGGGAAAATATGGTTTTTTTTACGAAGAGGATTGTTGCTTTTACTTGGAAGCGACTGCTGGTGGGACTTGGTTTCGTTGTCCTTTATCGGACGAGAGAATAGGAAAATGTTTTTTTGTCTTTTAAAGGAGCTATTCCAAAGGACCTGTCGGTATCACTTCTTTTACCGACCCATTGGATGTGGTAGGGAGGCCTAAATTTCTTGACGAAGTTCTCAGCTGGCGTAGCGGCATGAGCTTCCAAATCACGCATTTTTAAGTATTTCTCTTTTAATGGCTTAATTTATTTCGAAAATAGTGGCAGCTAGGAAAGGTTAGACAGTTGAGATATTTTTGAATGAATTTCGCTGATTTGAGGGATTAAAAATTGTAATTTATTAAGGCTCTTTCAAGAAAATCGGAGCAATAAGTGCGTGGTTGATGCTACTCGTAGCTTATTAGTAATATATTCGCCATATTAACTAATTTTTTATGTATTTTAGGGACCCTTTTACCTACATATATCTCTGTTTCATCTAAGTCCTGTAGAAGGTGAGCAACCGTCTTTTAGTTCCATCGTCGCCATCATACTTAAATTACTTTTCTCAACTTTCTTGACCTTCCATAGATGTGATATTTCTGTCGCGGTTTCAACCGCTCCTCATCAACGTGCATCCTCGAAACGTGTGGACAACACAGACCCTGCAAAGCGCTGAGACATCAAACTCCCACATTCGTCTCACCCTCTCCTACCGATTGGTCTGCCCTCCTAACCACTACGGCGAGGCGTGCGAACGCTACTGCGCGCCTCGAGACTCACTCCTGGGGCACTACAAGTGTGATCCTAGGGACGGAAGAATTGTATGTCTGCCTGGATGGCGCGGCAGTCAATGCACCGAAGGTGTATAGCTATTTTTTTAATCCCACAGGATCTTATCTTGAAAGCATTTTTTTTTGCATTCTGAAGCTTGTGGGAGTCAACGTCACCGACTCCCACCACTCTTCTTGGCTCTTATCATGATGCAGTTGAGTTCTTCTTAAAGGAAATGGACATTTTTGCTTAAACCATTGCCCTGAGTTGATGCAGTTGCCATTATATCTAGTGCCAAGCAACTCATAGAGGAGTACTGGCTAAAGAGCCTAAACAGATGTGTTTAACCTGTAACCTGGTGTCCACCTGTATACCAGCATGGAAGAGTGAAGAAGAACCTCGGGTGAATTGTACTGTTGACAGGAAGCTGTGAGCTTTAAAGTGGATCAAGGAAAACTAGTGATTGTGGAAGTTTCTATTTCTGTCTGGTTTTTACTCTAATTTTCAGTAGCATTCTGTTTTGTAAGTAGTATAATTTTTGAAATTGGTCTTTTCACTCTTGCGATTTAAGTAGTCTTAAAAGCTGAGGTTCGTTACTGAGCATTAAAAAAAAAAGCAAATAAAATAAAGGTACAGACCATCCTCCATTCAATACACTGGTCTCACCTCATTCCAAACGTTGCAACAGATTTTTCGGGTGCATTTTCATTTTAGACCTCCTTAGTTGTGCTGTTTGACCGCCTTAATAGCCTCATTTATCCTCAAAAGTCAAACGACAATCATCCTTAGGCAAAGGCGGCACGCCTTAATTTTCTGTGTGTCAACCCTGTAGGCAGCTCAAGATTCGTGGAGTCGCGATGTTACAGAAGATCATGGATACGCAAGCGTGTCAAAACCAGGCACCGTAATACAGTGACTTAAAGGGCTCTGTCTTAACCCCTTCATTGTTTCCGTTTCAGCTATATGCAAAAAAGGCTGTTTTCATGGCACCTGCGACTCGCCTGATGTTTGCAAGTAGGTTACACAACACCATTTTATCCTCCAGAATGGATTTCACATTTGGAGTTTGATAGGACACGACTTCTTATCCTAAAACAGCTTGTTTTGCCTTCACTCCCCACCGTGAGGAGGTGGATTCGACGGATTTTAAGGATTCACCCGAATTTTGTAGTGCGATGGTCTCTTTTGATCGCATCAATGCAGGTGATGTCAGAAATCCCTGACAGTACAATGCTGCACTCTATCATTTGGTGCTTATAAAACATATAACGTAATCGTCTGATTTAGCCTCAATTAAGGTTCAAAAGTTGGAATCGGTCTTTAAAGCGGAAAGATTCCCCATTTGCCTCTCAAACGTGTACCTGCAAATGCCTCATGCTGATTGAATGTCTAATGGATTGAATACGTGTTTTAGGCGTGAGCTTAGGCAAGCCCTGACAAACACGTTTACACGTAAGACTTGCTTGTCTCGTCGATAAGGCAGATGCGTACAACTTCATCTCATCTTCATTCTTCTTTCGAATTTTGGGATTTGCTCCTCTGCAACTTTAGGTGTCGCGAGGGTTGGGAGGGCGAGGCCTGCAACCAATGCATCCCCTTTCCGGGGTGTAGCCACGGCACTTGCAAGTTTAATTGGTCTTTGGGTCAGCACGAACCCTTCACCTGTGAATGTCAACCCGGATGGAGTGGCATGCTGTGTACAATCGGTGCGATTCCTTTTTTAGAGGCTTCTATCCTTTTTATGACAGATGACCTATTTCGATGTCTCATTAATCCACAGACACCAAATTTTGCTCAAATCACCCCGGCACCTGTCTCCACGGTGGAATTTGTCACAACACACCACCTGAAACTTCACCTGGTTATATTTGTCAATGTCAACTGGGCTATGAGGGCTATCATTGTGAGATTCCCAACCAGGACTGTCGAATTCATTGGTGCAGTGGTCATGGAGTTTGCCAAGTTAGTTGTAGCACTTCAGTCCACCTTATCCGCATTAGTAGTATTAAGTTGTCTTGAAACCTGCCTAGCTGTCACTGATTACCTCCTCATCTTACGTCGTATCAACCATTTTCGTGAATGTCATGTGGTCAGCTTAAGCGCAGCCTGTTTTTGCTTACTACTACTTACTACTATCGCTATTTTCTAACACTGAAATCCTTTAGTGACTTCACAGTGACATTAATTGTCATTACTGAGCAGCCAATAAGTCTTCAGACCGGATGGTGCCTTTGAATGATTTCATTTCCTTTGTAGGGGAACGGAAGTTGCAAATGCTTTGACGGATTCTATGGTTCGAACTGTCAATTTAACCAGACCGAGTGTTCACAAAATCCCTGTCAGGGGAATAGATCTGTTTGCATACCTTTAAAGCCTGCCAAGGAAAGCAGCCTTCATTCCGCCACAGAGACCATCAACTTCCGTTGTGAATGTCAGCCTGGACTGAGCGGGAGGAACTGTGAGCGGAAGATTCGTCAATGCGATGCAAATCCCTGTCAACACGGTTAGTTTGTTTTTATATTTTCAATGCTTCCTGAAGTCGAAAAAGCAAATAGGCTCTGAGGAAGGATCATATCCATTTACTTTGATTTCACTGACTCTACTTGGATGCACTGCCTGAAGGAAGCACTGCGCAGGGGCACATAATTATAAAACGAAGGACAAGGAAAGAGAGGATGATCACACGGAGATTACGTATTAAGCTGAATGAACTCACTTCTGTAAAGAAAGCGAAACGGCAAATTCTAAAATAGTGATTAAAGTGACAGTACTGCAAATTAGCATCAGCGTACGTCCTAACCTAAGCAGGCAAATAGAAAGACGAAAGGACAGACAGAGAGGTGAGAGCAAAGTGCGAATTCCACACCCGAAGGAGGTGCCAGCAAGATCAAAGAGAGGAGTCGACTTGTGAACTGGAGGACGTAAGCGAAAATTCGCATGCAGGTGTGGGGTGCACTCTTCTATGAAGCCATCATTATAATGACCACTTGGGAATGAAAAGCTCCTCCCTGTTGTCCCTC